CCACTGCCTTAAAATTTGCAAGGCAATGATGTTGTGTAACTGGAGTCCAGCTCTTCTCCTTTGAATGTACTTTCACTGTTCTTTGTAAATGTTTCCTAGTATGTGTCAAACATTACATCAAGCCTTTGATTTCTACTTCCTTCTCTCAGAACCATAGAGAGTACGTCTCTGGCCTATTGACCTACAATATATCCCTTATCTAGTCCAAGAAGGCACTCCTGTGTTTCACTGTGGTGGAATATCTATTCAACTCATGTGCTTTTAGGCTTAAACATGCTTTACAATCTGGAGTCTGAGTGTCTTTGTTTACTATCACCTCTGTGGTTTGGTCAACAGGAATGAATCCAAATTGATTATTGCCAGAGAGGTTAATAGAAAAGTGTCCATTCATGGAGTTCTAGTGCATGTCAGGGTATTCCTTTGGTAGCATTGTCATTTGGGCATTGTAGCCTGGCAAGTACCTGGTGTAATCCTGTTTTTCGTAAGCAAAAACTAGAAGATTGTGGATTGTATGACAATGAGATGTAACTGCTGGTTGCCTTCTCTAGTAGCACGCCATAAGACTAGCAAGACATTTTCAACTATATCCACATATGACATCCAAAATATGACAGGTCTTTATTGTCATGATGAAGATGCTGCAATAATCCATTCCAAAGGACTTGTACTTCTGCAAAAGTTGAACTGTGCAGCAAGTTCTCAAAGTTCTCTGGCACAGGTATTCAACAGTTAATTGCTTCTTCCATAAATGAGAAGACTGCTTATTTTTTTCATTCCAGCTTGTCTCCACCCAGTGTATAAATTCCATTCAGCCTAGTCTCATCGTAATTTTATATATACACTTTTACACTCGAAATGCACGATTTTACATCTTGCCTCCAAGAACTACAACTAGTAAACCTTCTCCAATGATGCTGTTTCAATGCATGTCATTTTCCAACCATGAATAAGGCATTGCACATGGTGTCGAATGTATCTATTTTATGTATGACATTAGAATACCTTTGTTTGAGCTTCCAGAAAATTTCTGCAACTTTTGTGTACAAATACAGTTCTATGAATACTACACACTTCTGTAATTCTAATGCTTTCCTGATGAGTTATGACTGGTTTAATATTTCCAGCATTGTTGTCAAACCTCAGTAGCCAGGACATCGGTGGTACGAAGTAGCCATTGACAGCCTGTGACACATCAACTAAGTCTCTAATATTGATTTTAAACCTGTCCAAATATGTATCTTCTGTTTCACTCTGCCTTGCAACTAGCCGGACCAGGTTTAGTTCCAAGTAACCCATGCTTTTGCTGTGCAATCTTTCATGATTACATTAGCTGTTGTCCATCCTGCTCACTAGTAACATAAACTGCCAGTTCTTCATTTTCAGTGGTCAGAATTCTTTGCTTTTGTTTCCCAATGCGGAGGAGAGAAGCCTTCAGGATATGTGGTACATTGTTTTTGGCCTGTGAAATAATGCCATTCATCTGATAAGTGGTCCCTTTGCCATAGACTCCTTCTTTGTTGACAAACTCAGTCAGAGTTTGGAGAGAAACGAAAATGATACTTTGCAGTGTGGTAATTTTTGAACTTCCTTTTATCCGACCTTAACAGACTGTTACATGGAAGATCAATGTGACAGAGTATACCACAAGGATACACCATATATTTTTACCCTCATAGCTGCTAGGTAATTTTTGAAAATTTTAGTTTTGTTGATTTATTTCTAGAATAAAACATCGGTCAAGAGAACTATTAAGTAATCTTCTTGTGTTGGAATTCTTTTAGGCCACGCTGGGGGTAAATCAGAGGAATATAAGTAAACACAGAGAGTAGGTATGAATGATAAATGTTGGTGCCTTGACTGCAGATACTGTTCTTGTGGACGTCTATTTTTCCTGGGTTAGTTTTTTGTTGTTTAGTTTAGACTCTTGTACCATACAGTTGCAACTTCGCTAGGAAAGGTCATTTTTCAGGTGAAAGACTTATGGTGAGGAGGAAAAGAATGGGGTCAGTTTTATCAGAAAATCCATTGGTTCTAAGAGAAGTCCTCTCCTGAACATTGGACTTTTGCTGATCCTACAAAGGTCCTTGAATAGTATCTCCCTGTCACTGAAACCCAGGAAATGAGGATCATCACTATCTAGAGCACCCAGAGCAACCAACAAAATTCACCCACTGAGGTTTGACATCAATACATGGAAAACTCAGTTTACTGAGAATCTTCTTAGTGGATGCAATGTGATGGGTCAAAGACTAATTGGGGCAGTCTCTGTAAGACCCCCAGGCGAATGCTGGCTCTGGTCGATACCATCACTAAATCAGGAGAGACCAGTTTTATTTTTGATAAAAACATTCGCCAACATAAACTGTTTCACTAGCAGGTGAAATGGCAAGTGCATACTAACAAAGATGACGATTTGTGGGACAGCTTTGAGCATTTTTCTGAGCAGTAAAGCTTGCTTCTAGGCCAACAAATGGTCACCAAAAAACCCAGGGTCATTATAAACCATTTGGGGAAGTATTATAGGTACCTTTCCATTTCGTGACCAAGAATAAGGAATCTAGCACTAGTCCAAATGCATGGACACTTGTACCAGCCTATCCTACCATTTCCCTGCCAATCAGGATGGTTCTACCTGCCATAACCTGAGAGTCTGAGGTTGGGGAACTTATGGCATTATTGCAGGTACCTTGAGGGGAGGCAAAGCAGGTATCACTTCTAACTTTTAAGGGAATGGGTAAGGAGGACTTGAAACAATTCAGCAGGCATTTCAGGCAATGATCTGCGTGAAACAGTTTGACTCTGGAGCAGGCAATACTTTTAGATAGTCCAGTCTTAAGTTGTTTCTAGTACCTTCCAGTTTTATTAATTTTTCAAACGTATTGTGTTACAAATAAAAATGTTCTAACATACGAATACACCCAAAATGATTTATTCGATATATATATATATATATCAAAGGTTCTAAGTAGTTTTTCTCAGGAGTTAAGATTAAAGGTAAAATATCTTTCCAACAACAAATACTTGTTTTCATGTGACTTGAATAGAAAACTTTATTAGAATTTGTTTTAAATATACAAAACGCTCTTTAAATAAACCCTCCCACACACACCCACAGTAGCTTATGTGTATTGTTAACCGTGATGAGCTGAGCACAGATAACTCATTGTGTGCTTATGCCCTTAACAACAACCAGAAACAAAACATTAAAAAGAAGCTGAGATAACTTATCATTGCTTCAGTTGTGATAAACATTCATTAAAATGAATCTGAGATACTTTATCGTTCCTTCAGTTGTGATAAACATTCATTAAATAAAATCTGAGATACTTTATAGTTGCTTCAGTTGTGATAAACATTCATTAAAAAGAATCTGAGATACTTTATCGTTGCTTCAGTTGTGATAAACATTCATTAAAAAGAATCTGAGATACTTTATCGTTGCTTCAGTTGTGATAAACATTCATTAAAATGAATCTGAGATACTTTATTGTTGCTTCAGTTGTGATAAACATTCATTAAAAAGAATCTGAAACTATTTATCATCTTTAATTATCATAGTAAATTGTAACCAAAGTCTGTAGTTCAATAGTTACCGAGTGAAAGTGAAGAAAATAATATAATAATATGTTAACCACATTATATCTGCTATATCAAGTACAGTTGAAACCTTTCGTCCAATACCAGACTAGGATTCTTCAAACTAGCTGAGATACAACTGACATAACAGTGGTTGAGACGGTATTTATATTAGCAGATTGATTAACAACTGCTACGGTGTGAATTGGATTAAGTTAGTGAAGTGTAACTTTTCATAAGTTGTATTTATGTCACAACACGTTAGAATAAGAATAAGAATTTTTAACACTATATACTTTTTAATATTACTACCAAAAATTTCATCACGCAGACGCCATTTAGCCAGTTTCAACGCCTTTTATTCCATGTTCTCATTCTTTGTAATAATATTAATTGGATTTCAGAATTAATACTTCCTTATCGTCACCTACTTGTGTGATTAGCTCTGATACTATACGTGGAAATTCATTGATTGTTTGTTTGTAATTAAGCAAAAAGCTACACGAGGGCTATCTGCGCAATCCGTTCCTAATTTAGCAGTGTAAGACTAGAGGGAAGGCAGCTAGTCATCATCACCCACCGCCAACTCTTGAACTACTCTTTTACCAATGATTAGTGGGATTGGCCGTAACGTTATAACGTTTAAAAGTTTAAATTATTTTGTAGATATATAATATAGAGTACGAGAGAGTTAAATATTTAATATTTACACTTTGTAAAATGCATTTTGTATTTGACCTCGGAACTTGAGCAGCACCTATTGCATACGTGGGTTAAACAGTAGGTCAGAGACCCGCTAGAGTTGAAATCATTCTTAATTTTAAAGTACTGACCAGGGAGAAGGCAGCAGCCCAGCAGCGCCTGCCGTCATAATGGCTCTGTTTTGTTCCTTTAACTAAACAACAGAATAGACTATCACCTACTTCCCCCACATCTGCACACAGTTGAGAATGCGTAACATCAAGTCTCGAAGCTTGAACCTTTCGTCTGCAACTCAGCACGCTAACTACAATAACATTCCTAATTCATTTTATGAAATAAAATACCACTTGGAACTCTATGAATTAAACATTTATAATGCAAACTTCCTGAATCAGTAAGATTGTTTGTATTTTTTAGAACAAGCCACATTTGGTTATCTGATGTGTCAACCTCAAGTTATCGAACCCCGGATTTAAGCGTTGTAAGCCCTTAAAGTTAACGCAATCCAACTGGGGAACTATCAACACATAAGAAAGCGCAAATACTGTTATATTATATGAAATATTTAGTACTTTCACTTTTGTTGAATAAACTGTACTTCTTGTAATACTATTTAGAACACGCATATCTGAAACAAGTAACTGAAATTATTTTCTGACTATTAAATATAGCAATATATTTATGGGCTATTTTTTCATCACAGCTATATTTAAAGGTGGCGTTACATACTATACGTAGAGATACTATCAACGTGCTTGTAATTTTGTAATTGTAGTGCATAATTTGTAATCCATTTAAACAAAGTATGGGGAAAAAGGTAAAGATTGGGAAACAAAGGAAAGATAAATTTTATCAACTTGCTAAAGAAACAGGTAAAGCTCAGTTTTAATCAGAAAGTCTTTCCACCTTTTATTTAGTATAATTAAAAATAGGGTATGCGTAACCCTAACTAAGCATCACGTGTCTTTAAAAGTTTAAGTTTACTTTAGTTTAAATTTAATGGCATTATTATCATTATTACACATAACGTTAATCAAGCGTATTATTATTACTTCCTTCCTTGAAGTAAGCTAAAATTAGCGTTATGAGCTTGACTTTTAGGTTGGTCAAACCCTTGTAAACTATCAAGCATTCGCCTAAACAGGTAATGTTTTAAATTCAATAAATAAAAAATAGTGACTACAAAGCACGTTGACACCGACAAAAGGTAATGTTTTATAAGTTATAATGACACGTTTCTCTAGTCTCTACCCAACTTCCCATAGCCTTAATAATGAAGTTCATGGCATAATAAGTAAATCATAACTATAGTTAGTACAAGAGTCATACTACACACCGAAATGGAATATACTTAAGAGTAAGAGAAATATAAAATTTATGTTATGAAGTTTATCATTATATTGTTTGTATATATTACATATATAATATTAACGACATAGAAAAAGAGTTGATAACACTCATGTAAGTATATCAGCTGTACATATGCCTTCAATATTTCAAGAAACACTAAAATTCAACTCGTCATTTCCCTATCACATGTATAAATTCATGTGATTGAATTGGCTATATTTTCGTAATGAAACAGGAGGTCTGAAACACTTGAGCCTCAAAATTAAATAATGCACTATCTGATATGTAACTCTCACATTAAAATTCTCTCAGACATCTTGAAATGATGTTTTAGAACAGCTTGTTGTCCAGTACCAATATTGCATTACTGGATATGTGCCAAAAGTAAAAATCTACACAAAATGACTTGTTGAAATGAAATATGAAGTTGGTTGTAAATAGGAAACATAGAACTTTCAATATGAAGTTTAAAGCTACTTTGCCTGGCAGCGTGACCCCAGAATGATTAGATCTTTAGAAGATACATGGAAGTGGTTTGAAATATCATCAACAATCTCCAGGCAGATTATCTATTTCAACGACTTACAAGTGTGTGTGTGTGATGTTTTGAGTTGTTCCTTGAATACTATAGTACACTTGTATTTATATAGATATTTTAAAATTTATTATGTAGCATTAATGCTACTAATTTATTGTTCTAAATTGTTCAGAGGAAAAGCTGTTTAACATAAAATAAATTTTCTCTCATCCCTGAAATTATGAATTTCATGCAAAATGAAAATTAAAGCCCATTCAGTCTGTTATTTGATTCACTCCTTATTGCCAAGTTAAACTAGTTTCTATAATTTCACCACATGTCAGTAAACCTGGACAATTGCAAATTGAAAAAGAAGACTAGACTCCTTATAGTGAAATCATAACATTTGAGGAACAACTAGAAGCCCCTTTGCCCATCATGGCTGTCCCATTCATTTCATCAGATATCCATTAACCCGTATCCAACCCTGATGATAAGTAAAAGGATGGCTTAGTCATATTTTTCAGCTTGCCTTTGTTGAAGGTTAATGATATGAGACATAATTCTCTGAAACTGAGTTAACTTAGTGACAAATCAGATGGTAGAGACTGGGCTCCATATTCTATTACCAAAATTATTACTTTTGGTAAGGAGAAAAAATTGCATTAATTCTCAGCTGTATTATTGCTTTATGAAGTTTTCTATTCTTGTCTGTTTAAGTACAATAATTTTATTTATAATTTCTATTTATGATTATATATATATAAACACACACACACATATATATATATATAATTTATTTTTCTTTTTTTTATAGGATATCGTTCTCGTGCTGCATTTAAGCTAATCCAGTTGAACAGAAAGTATGAATTCCTACAGAAGTCTCGAGTTTTGGTCGATTTGTGCGCTGCCCCTGGAGGTTGGCTGCAAGTATCACAGAAGTACATGCCTGTTTCTAGCTTAGTGATTGGTAAGTATAATACGTTTGTATTTCTAATATTAGATATTAGAATAAAGGAAAACTTGGAACCTAAAGCAAGTTTTTGTGTGTGACGTGACATCAAGTACAAAAACAATTTACTGTAGTGTTAAAGATGTCAAAGAATGTGGTGTTGCCTATGTTTATTTTAACTTCAAAACAAAACTTCTGAATGGTCAGATTTTTTTAACTACTATTTTTGACAGTTATGTTTATCCCACCATAGTTATTTGAATTGTTCTATTTTAAGATTCCACAAATATGACCACCCTGGTTGTAATTATGTTAATTTACCATACAGTGTTAAATAAGTATACCTACCATGTTAGAGATTTCAAAGTTTAGGAATTGTAAACAGTAGTTTTCGGTAGAACTTAAATTATTTTTTAAACCAGTTGTCAATTTGGTAATTTGTAGTATTTTTCTGGAATTTCCTACCAATGTTTTTGACTTTCTATAATGTATCACAATCTCTAAATAATTCCTTATGAGTCATAAATAAATTACACTAAGCAGTATAATAATATTTTATAAATTGTAGGATGTGGATTGGCATTGTTTACATGAAAACTAATGAAGATGGACTGTTCTTTTTTATTTATAGTAAAATATAATTTGTTTTTCTTTTTTTATTATCAGGAGTGGATTTGGTGCCCATTAGGCCATTAGGAAAGGCTATAACTTTACAAGAAGATATAACAACTGATAGGTGTCGACAAGTAAGTACACAAATCTGTATACTAATCTGTGTTTAATTATACAAAGAAATACAATTTGAAGGTGTTTATGTTATTTGAATTCTGTTATATCCAGTGGCAACAAAAAAATGTTTTTTGATCAATTACTGTAGTGTCTAAAAGTAGTTCAATATGCTTTTGTTTTAAATCATAATTATAAGCAGTTTAGTTATTGATATATCCTACACTTATTTAAATGGCTTAAGATTTCTTATGGATGTATGTTGAGGAATGGAAAGAAAACTTAAATGCATAGGTTCTTCCAACCCATTATTTCCATTAACTGTATGCTTAACATAATCAAAAGAACTTAAAACTTGTAGGTAAGTCCTAGTAAATGTTTCAAAAATTATTATTCCAATGAATCATGTACAGGGTAATCAACATAATTATAATAAAAACAAAGTTGTGAAGACTGTAATGCATTCATAATAAAGTTGTTCAGGTGCTCTTTACCATAATTTACAATATAAGTTGGTTTATTTGATATGCTGCCCTAGCAAATGCTAAAAACTTTGAATATTTTAAAGGCTTTAAATAAAGAACTAAAAACATGGAAGGCAGATGTTGTTTTACATGATGGAGCCCCTAATGTTGGAAAGAGTTGGGTACATGATGCATATGCTCAAGGTATGTTGTTATCATTTTAAAATCATATACTTTTAAACACTATTTTTCAACATATTTAATACAAAATCAGAATTTTTTGAGTCAAAAGTTTTACTGCGGTTTTGTATGAATGGTCATATTTTGTGGTGTATGTATTTTGTATTACTATTAATGTTTGGAGACGGCTTGAATGGGTAATAAAGAAAAACTTTAATATAAGTTTAACATAACAGCAAATGTACAACGTTTCGACAAGGTTGTACATTTGAGTTTATGGTAAACTTATATTAATGTTTTTCTTCAAAGTGGGTTCCTCATCATCAAATTTGTATTACTATAATTTTTGGTCATTTTGTGAATAGAATTGTTAATTAAATTATTTAATTTTTCTTGGATCATT